CATGCACTCATAGGAGCGGCCCTGGAAGTTCCTCTCCTCGTAGAAAATGATCTGTAGAAGAGAAAAACAAATGAGAGGGACTCTGATGAATTTAAATATCTTGTCGGGAAATGATTTGATTTGATTATTCTGTTCTGATTTCCTACCTTGCCCATGGTGGTAGCGGTGGTTTGCTCAGATCTATGAGAGAACTGTTGGTGAACTGATACCCTGCTGGTCTGAACATGTGTCATTTATACCTGGACACAGACAAAGACCCTGTGCCCCCTCCATTGTTCAAAGTCCTGACCCAGCAACCAACTATAGAAGCCTATAGAGTTGTTTACTCATATACCAACAGGGTCATAACCCCTAAACAGAACTTTCTTTCCGAAAAAAGAGATGCAGGAGTTTTTGCTGTTATATGCGTTTTTTATTTAGAGCATTGAAATCGTTGCAGGAAGCTGCACAATACAGATATTGACTGAAGTAGATGAACACTCTACCTAATACCTCAACCTAATTTCCCCTTGGGGATGAATAAAGGAATATATCTATCTATCTATCTATCAAAAGCTGCAATTCATTTAATTATAGGTTTATAATTATCTATCATTTATTCCATAATTCCACAAACTAACATTTCACCAGAGCTAAAAGATTCAGTCGACGAATGAGAGACAATTACCACAATGACAGTTTTCAGGCCTTCAACAAGAAATTAATCTGAAGTATTCTCCATATTTGTGCAGATTTATTTTTACAGATTATTTTATTTTTCTCAGTTTTATGTTTCAGTAAACTAAATAATTGGATTTAAGGTGATGGTATGTGGTTTACAGTATACATGTTATATTCTGCCACTTTAATTGGTGCTAATTTTCGATCCAGACATTAAAAACATGTATGTTACATGTGCAGCCTTTACCCACAGTTCTATCAGTACTATTGGGGTGTGTGTGTTTGTGTTTCTGCAATCTGTTCCATGTAGCATCTTGCCATCATCATTGCATTCAGAGAAAAAGTTTGCCATTAATATTCTAGAATTCAAAATAAAAATGTTTTATTGTTTAAAACTGTTTTGGTTTTTGTCAAATCAACATTTCTGAGGCAAACGCTACGACTCCATTTATATTCTATCACATTTAAAACAGGAGAGACTTTCAGAGAAACACACACGAGAACCAGTGACTTAGAATCAAATGAATTTATTGACAAGAGGATCAGAGTTTGATGCTTCGACTGGTAAAACAGAACCAGATGGAAACAGTTGTATGAAGTAGAAACTTCACACAGGAGCTGGTGATGACGCCTGGAGCAGGAAGTCGGGACGTCTCATGAGGGCTTCTGATTGGACGGGAGACAACCCAGTATTCGGAGTTGAGGCGGTGCGTGGGCGGAGCTGAACGACAGGACGGAGAGAGGACAATTTAAACTTTGTCTGCTCGCAGGTGATTGGCCCGAGGCGACAGCGTCGGGTTGTGATTGGATATGAGAAGGAGCGGAGCTGGAGGAGGTGATTTTGCTTTTATGTAAAATCTCTTTATCTGCATTTGTGCAATAATCCCCGAGAACAGTGTGTTTACATGAACAGGGATCGTTTAAAATGTTACCATGGTTTCTTTTGTGATGTGTTTATTTCTAAGACCAAGTATTTAGCATGACGTCACCTTCCACCATAGCTGTAGTTTAAGATTGAAATGAGTTTTTAAGGGACTCTGAGGTTTGACGGTGGCGTGCAGCTGCCCAGACCAACGAAAGTAGTTCAACCAGGGTCCGTATTAACAATCCCAACCATGAGGAGTCTAACTTCTTCAACCTCCAGCGCAAATCACACCTACATTGTTTGACCTTGAAACTATTTTACTATTTTACGCACCAACGTTGAGTCCGACCAGGAGAGGAGGCGTTCTGGGTCTGGATCAGACTGAACCATGGTTCTGTTGGTTTGCAGTGAAAACTTTTTTATTTTGTGGAGATTTTGGACCAATCACAGGAAGTAGAGGCAGCATTAAACAATAGAAGAAGAAAAAGAAGAGGAAGCAGCTGCAATCTTCACCTCCGACGATATGTTTGAACCACCAGGACGTTCATTTGGTGCATTTGAACTTGTGTGGAGTACTGTAGTACTATGGAGTACTGCAGTACTGTGGAGTACTGCTGATATGATTAATACCACAATAATTTACCGTAGCAACCGAATGAACCGGTTCATTGATTTCAAACCAAACAGACTAC